ACTAGAACCACTCGTGATGTGGGGCGAGGACATTTCCACAGCGAAACCTTTTGTGTTTTGCACTACAGTTAGAAAAGAGATATAAACGCAACGACTATTAGAGTAGGCTCTGTGATTTCTCTACAAGGGGCGGCCGCGGACTCTGGGTGCGGTGGCGGGCTTGGACCGGTGCTCAAGTTTCTTGGCGACTGCAAGGACCAAAGGCGCCGGAGGACAAACCGATGACAGACAGGCTCCAAATACACGCGTACATGGGAACGGCAAGGCAACGACAACGCGGTCACAAAGCTGCTTTCCCACTCTCCCTCCCTCAATGGCCACACAATCTCGGTGCCCGCAGCGACGAAGTCGTAGCCCCATCAAGACGCTGTGCATCAATGGCCCCACCAATTGAAACCGATGACAGACAGGCTCCAATACACGCATACATGGGAACGGCAAGGCAACGACAACGCTGTCACAGCTGCTTAATGGAGCGCTCGACTATGCCAGCGACAAGTGCAATCACCCATCCGTAAAATCCGGTTAAGCCTGTCCCGCTCTATGCCAGTTTGCAGTTTTGGAATTGCCGCACAGCGCGATGGTCGGGAAGCGCAACACTGTCGTATTTAGCACAGTTCGCAAGAGCACGTCGCGACAAGCGCGACGATCCGAGCGATCGACGACCGCTTCAGCGAGCCGACGTACGTGGTCGCTGACAAGGGCATGACGCGCGCCGACTGCGAAGCCATTTTTGCGCCGCATCGAGATTGCAAAGCGGGCCGTCAAAAATTACTATTTCGGCGAAAAGTACACGCCGAGCGCCGCCGACACCGACGATTTAACGTACGTCTTTGGCGACGACACGCGGCAGCTCGAGACGCTGCTGCCCGAAGACGTCGCCACGATCCTCAGCGTCGCCACCCTCAGCGGGAGCTACCACAGCGAGAAAAAGACGGCGATCGACGCGGCCAAGCGGCTGCGGCACCGCCTCGACCTGCTGCAATCAGAGCGCGACATGAGTGTGACGCTTGGGCTCGGGCCCAAGCCGTTTTGCGCCATCACCGACGCCGAGACGATCCGGCTTCGCAGCTTCCTCGACTCGGACTGGGCCAAAGTTGGCTCGATCGCCAATGTGGTCTTTAGCGAGGAAGAGGCGGAGAAGCGACGGCAGCGCTTGCACCACAAGCTCGAGACCACCGGTGTCACCAGCCGCTGCAAGTGCTGCCGGTACGAAAAGCACGCCCCGCGCCATGCAGCGCGGAAGACGTGCCGGAACATGACAACGTCAGGCGACCGCTTCTGGGAGGACGACGACCTCAAGGTTGACGACGACGTTGCGGCCGAATTTGCACACGACAGTTGTGCTGGTGACGAGGAAAAAGGTGTCGATAACAACGCTATCCATGACGACCAGATATAACTCTCAATAGAAATCCGTGCGTCAAATATATTCGCTATACGGCTAGACGGTAACCATCAAATAATTTTGCATACGTCGCGCGATGCTTGCTTGCGTGGAAGTCGACGCCTTGCCGCCAGTTCTTGCCGCTGGGAGCGAGCTGCGCACACTGATTCGGTGGCACTTGGTGCCGAGTAGTTGTTGATTGCATTCGCTTTCTCGTCCATCGACGCCGAAGAACCTTGCAGCCCTAACGAAATACTTGAACGAGCGCGCATCGTCGCTTGGTGCTAGGCGATAGCTTGGGCGATCCGAATTCAGAAATTTTGCGAAACCTCTCAAGAAGCGTGCGACAACGCATCCACTGTGCGTGATCGTGGGGACGTTGAAAACATACGGATACGTTGGAGGTCGACATCGTCCGGATACACCACCTTGCCCCTCTCTCTCTCTGGGGCGCAATTGAAGAAAATGGTCGGAAGGGCCAAGACCATCTACAGCAGCCTCCGTAAGGAGCACGTGTCGACGAGTGCGACCATTCGGACCGTCGACGATCGCTACGACGACCTCACCTTTGTGATCGCAGACAAGGGTATGACGCGCGCCGACTGCGAAGCGCGCTTGGCGCGCTTGGCCAAGATCAAGCAAGCCGTGGGGCCCCGCATGGACGTCTTTCACTTTGCGCCCTCCCAAGCCGACGCAGACGATCTGGCGCTTGTTCTCGAGTCTGACGCGACGCTCGAGACGCTATCACAAGCCGACGCAGCGCGCCTTCGCAGCCTCGCGGCCCAGCACGGATCGTTTGGCGAGGAGAAGCAGGCCAAAATCGCCGCCGCCACGCGCCTGTGCTATCGCCTCGACCACGTGGAGCGCGAGTTTGAGATCTGCGAAAGCCTTGGTCTTGGACGCAAGGTGCTGCGGGCCATCAACGAGCAAGAACGTGTCCGGCTCCGCGCGCACTTGGAGTCGCCATGGGCCAAAGTCACCTCGATGGATGACGTTGTCTTTAGCGAAGAAGAAGCCGCCAAGCGCCGGCTGCGCATTCTGCACAAACTCGAGGCCAAGGGAACGACGAGCCGCTGCAAGTGCTGCACGTACCGCAAGCACGCACCACGCTACTCAGCGCGCAAGGACTGCCGCGACGTGACGCGACTCCGTGTCGGCGATTGGGCGACCGAAGACAATGAGATTGACGACGATGTTGCCGACGCCTTTCTGGACGACGATGTCAAGGATGGCGACGATATGGACCGCGAGCAGTGCGACGGCGCAGCAGAATACACGGACATGGGTGATGCAAATGCGCCTGCTGGCTCTGCAACATTAGGGTAGTCCTGTCGTATGTGTAAACTAATTTTAAAAAAGTGAGTTTCGCAAGTATCTACACTCGAAAAATAGGGACCTCGGTGGCAAGCGGTGGCGCCAGTGCGATTGTTGTCGTGACCTTGGTTGATATCGTCGGGCATTGGTCAAACAAGAGGTGCCGGCGCTAGGCCCACACGCTTCACAACAAGCCCAGCACGACATACAAGACATTCTGTCCCACTCCCACGCATTCATGGCGCAGAGCTGAACGCGCTCGCGGCCGACATACACATGAGGCCTGCCAAGGCTCAGCGCCAAAAGCGACCTGCCAGTGTGTCTGCAAAGACAGTGGCTAGACGCTGTCTGACGACGAGACAGAAAATATCAATAGTCCAGTTGGTGACATGCTATTATGCTTGGATTCACGACAACCAGGCACCACAAGCAACGGAGTGATGTGTGTTGGTGCGAGGTGTTTTCTGAGACTGCCACGTCATTTTGTTCCGCCAATCAGCATCGAGATGGATTTGACTGCCAATACTAATACTCTCGTTGTTTCGTCAGCAAGGACTCGGCGCATGCGTCTACATCGTTCCACTGACAGGCAATTATGCACAGTATGTCTGTCTCGCTCGCTGCATAGTGCTCGTTTCACATTGTGGCAGTGCGAGAACCACAAGTTGTGGTCCTCGCGCCAGCCGCAATGTGCAAGAAGTGATCACGGTCGCCGAACTTGATGCGTTATACAAATGTGTCGCGTGCCTACGTACGGGCTCATAGGCTTATGGGTATTGACCTGCCGGGGGGACTCTGCAGGCACGCTTGCATGTGCGTCACTTCAAGTTCAACGACTTCAGCGATTCGAGGTTTGTGATCAGCTTGAAGTATATCGGTGCGACGTACCGAATGGTTGCTTCGACCTCCGTATTGTCTACGTAAGGTACTTCCATCCATGCAGTTATACCGCGTTAGCGCTGGTCCACGCGAAGCTTATCGTTGCAAGTGCTTGTCGTGTCGGACTGAGTGCCGCGGTATCCGTTCGCCACGAGCCGATACCTATGGGATATTGTCGTGTAGCTTCGGTGCCCTTATCTCGACGCCGTTCGATTGGTACTAAAGGACCATGAAAAGAAGTGGGCATCAACATCGTTGACTCTCGACACGAGTGGCCGCGTTTGCACCTTGTCCCGCTCCTACCTCCGCCGGCCTAGATCAAGTACGACAACCGAGCATACACAACAAAGAAAGCGTAGATCTACGTGACTATTTTAATACAGTCGACCCACTTCAACAACAACATCGTTGACTCTTGTCTTGTCTTTGATGTGCCACCACCAGATTACGAAACGTGACGAGCCACTTTGCATTTTTTGAAAACAAAGTATGAACGTGTGGTGGTACCATGATGGTGATAATGTGGGGCACGTGAAGGCACGACCGAGCACCTTCCACGACGAACGTGTAGCTCACACTACAGCGCGCTAGTCGCTTTGCCGTGGCACCCCAGATGCAGCCGCCAGGCGTGGGTTTGGGTACGTCCGGTATCCTCGTCTTCTTGCCGACAGCCAGCCCGTAGAGGCTCGACTGCGTACCAGTCGTATTGCTATGTACAAGAACAACCACAAGGCATCCGCGCCACAGAGGGCGGTGCATGGGCCACTGTGTATGTGAGCGGGTGCGCATACCAGTGTAGTACCTCGGCACCAGCGCTAAGCTGCCGGAAGAAACCGCTCGACGCAAAGACGCGCCAAGGCAAGAAGAGAACGTGGGTGACGAGTACTACACCGAGAGCCGATGCACCCACGGCAGTGCTTGTATCGAAACGTAGGAGCGTCCATCCATCCCAGCGAAGCGCTGAACCGTTGCAGCCTGGCGTCGAGCTCGGAGGGTCTCGTAATGCTTGGGACAAGACCGCCACGTCTACGCCTTCAAGGAGCTGCGAACCGCGAAACTTGAGGCTTGCAGTTCCTTGACGAGCCACCGTGGCGAGTGGGGAACACGGTGTCCAGCGCCGCAGCGAACGGAATGTGTTGACGCTTCTTCTTGTTCACCTTTCAATCACCAGAAGCAGAAGCCGTGACCTGCGATGTGGCGCAGTGTGTTGTGTTACATCGGCGGATGCGTCTACACCGCCAAAAGCAACCAGAAAGGACTACAAACCACGGCTCTTTCTAGTCGCTAGCGCCGGTGGAACGCCACCTTGGCCGCATGGAAGCGACTGCATCTACGTGTATATCTACATGCCGGGCACTGCAACGACGTACAAGACGTGTCCAAGCACCGACCGCCTGCCTCAGAGACGACACGGGGTGGTTGAACCTGGCTTGCGTGTCACTTGGGGTGACGGGCCTCTGTATGTCGGCTATAAAAACTAAGAAACGTTAATGGATTTTAGCCAATCGCGTGCCGGCCCGCCCTGGCGTCCCCCATTGCACACGGCGTGGCCTGTTTCTCATCCGGATACATGTAGCATCTATCCGTATGTTCGCCGCCCGCCGGAACTCCATTTGCACATAGGCATGGCGTGGGCACAGCGCGAGGTCAACAACGCGCTCTCGATGAGCGACCTCATGGAGAAGGCCATGTGGGCGCCCGACGACAGCCGCGACGACTGCTACGTGTGCAGCCGCCACTTCAGCAAGTTTCGGCGAAAGCACCACTGCCGGCTCGTACGTCGTCCTGCCTGCAGCTACCATCTCACATGGCATGCGTCTCGTATTAGTGCGGCGAAGTGGTTTGCGCCAGCTGCCTCCTCAAGAAGCTGGTCGAAGAGACCACGCGCGTCGGGCTGCGCGAGGTCAAAGTGTGCATGACGTGTCTCTCGACGACCAACGAGCGGCAGACCAAACCATCGTCGTCGTCGCTCTCGTCGTCGTCGTCCAAGCTCGCGCCCGCTTCGCACAGCGGTGGCGCCATCGAGCCCTATGCCAAGCACGCAATGGACTCGTCCAAGTCGATGGAGTCGCTGGCCAAGGGCCCGCGCACACCACCGCACACCGAGACGACCATTCACTACGACGACGAGGACGACGACCACCACCATGCAACGCAGCACGACGACCATGACCATCTCGACAACTTTCGCTTCACGGTCGAGTACGAGCTCGACTTCAACTGGGTCTACCCGTGGCCGCGGCCGCCGACCTTGCGCAACGAAGTCGAGCGCCTCGACGCGCTGCGTGCACTGCGCATCCTCGACACACCGCGCGACGACGGCTTTGACAGCGTCTGCGAGCTTGCGACCAACGCGCTGCAGTGCCCGATCGGTGTCATTAGCTTCATGGACGACGACCGGCAGTGGTTCAAGGCGTGCATCGGCCTCACCGAGCCGTCGATCCCGCGCGACATAGCGTTTTGCGCCCATACAATTCGTTCACAAGAGGCCATGGTGGTCCCCGATACGACCAAGGACCCGCGCTTTGTCCAAAACCCGCTGGTGACGGGCCCGACGCACATTCGGTTCTACGCCGGCGCGCCGCTGATTGCGCCGACCTTTGGCCAAGTCATTGGCACCATCTGCGTCATGGACACGGTGCCGCATCCGCGCTGCGAGGTCGCAACGCTCGAGAAGCTCTCGACGATCGTCATGAAGAAGATTGCGCTCAGCATGCCAGCAGCACCAAGTGCGTCCTTGCGGGCGTCCAGCGGCTCGACTACCAATCTGCGCGGGTACTCGTCGTCGTCGGTCTCGACGGTTGCGTCGTCGACGTCATCGAGCTACCCGAGTGACCCGTCCTTGGGCAACCTCGAGTCGATGATGCTGCAGCTGCTCTCGAAAGCCGCCGAGACCCAGCATCAGCTCGCAACGCAAAAGCAACCCGCGCTCTTATAGAAGAAAACCTCGTTCGTGTGTCTAACCTCGTAACTCGTGTCGTCCGTTGCTGTGCTTTTATCTGTAGCGACCAAACATGGTGGAGGCAACCACTTGTACTAGCTCAATGATGCGTCGTCGTCCGCAAGGAAAATGGTGACGCACGCCGCCTCGACGTCGAGAATCTCTCTCGACTTGGCAAGTGGCGCCAAGCGAGTCGACGACCTCACCGCGTAGGGACCTTGGCGCACGGATGTCGGCAAATACCTTTTGGCCCGTTGCAGGCGGTGGGATGAGTACCTTTGTTTAACAGTCAAGGGGTCGACCAATGATTTGATCGAGGCAAAGGTCATTGGACGGTGTCCTGGAGCTGTGTCCCGGTGCAGTCGCAGTCTTCGCTCGCACAGACGTGCCATGAGCCCCAGGAATGCGGTGATGGACTTCGAGTTGAATGCAGTGCAATGTACTTATGACAGAGAAAACGCCGGCACAGGGACAAGGTCGCGCCCGAGGTCTGTACATCAAGCTCGAGTCAAGCCGGCTCTATCATGCAAAACACTTTGTAGGGCATGAACCGAGACGGTCTGCTTGCCGTTTTGCGTGGTGCCTTTGCCGACGCTAATCTGGTGTGTAGCATGCTGGTATCAACGCTTTTGCAAGCATACTCTTTGTAGGATGCGATGAACAAGGCGTTGGTGCGGGCCGTGATTGCCAAGACAACGATGCGCTGTGCCTCTTAGAGCTGGGTGCAGACGTGTGGACCGGTACTACGCCACCTTGGTGAGCACTTTACCGAATGGATGGCGTAGGAACATAACCGCATGACGCTCCTCGCTCTGGCCATCCAGCACGGCCACGACGATGCCATTGTATTCTTCCATTTCTGCTTTTGAATCAATCAATTTTGTATTTTCGCGACCAAGTCTTGCCGCTGTTGTGGGTCATTTTAGAGAAGCAACAAAAATGGTCGGGAGAGTGATGTTGTACGTGTGGGAGATCCATCGACAACGCTTGTGCAACCGCATGTCCGGCTAGGGGTAGGGTCAACGCGCAACGTCGGACGTTGCATCGTACGACCTCAATACGACAAAGTTTGCCAACAAGCAGCGACGTCCCTGTTCACGGGCACCCTCGATTAGCAGCGTCGGTACAATGTGCTGGATCGCTCTAGAGTGTTTCGAGCTCCGGGGCGTCAAGACGGCGCGTCCAGCCCTGGCGCCGACATTTATTCGGTTGGCGTCGCTTGACCGAGCTCTACCCGCGCACCGAGCCGTACTCCGAGCTGCCCGATCGCAACGACGTAGAAGAGTTGGTGTGGCTCTACGTTGTCCCACTGAGGTCCATCCAAAACTTTGTTTCGTTTTTGCGCCCACCGTCCAGCGACACTTGATCGGCTTCCTCGATGAATGGTACAGTCGCATTGCCGAGTCCTCAAGCTCAAGACGACTGCTTCATGCGAGCGATTGCTCAAGACAAGGTTGCGCGTCCGACGGCAACATCCCGTAGCTCGGTCCCAGGACGCTCGAGTCTAGCCGTGAGCGTCGATTGTCTGCGTGTGGGAGTGGAGGATCTAACGTGGAAGATCTTCTTGCGGAGCGGCAAGACGCTGCGCACGTACGTCGACAACATGACAGACGTCATCGACACGGACCCGGTCGCTGCCATTGGCGCCGGTGCGTCGCTGCGATTATCGCTACAAATCTACACTACCTAACCCTATATATACGCTCGTGTCCGTTTAGAAAATGGCCTTGCTGTCGCCGCCGTCGACGCTTTGGCAGTACGGGATCACGACCTGCGTGATGCACTGGTGGACCGCGTCGAGCTCGGCAATTTCCCGCGGCGGGTGCGTGCGCTCGGTCTCTGCAAAGATGCCGCAGCAAAACTCGACCTGCTCGAGCATCTCGTAGAGGCGCGCCAATTTGCGGGCTTCGGTCGCCGACTTGGCCTGCGAGTGCGCTTGTACGTATTTCTGAAAGCTCTGGAGCACCATGCCGACCTTTTGGCCATAAATCTCCTTGAGGGCCGCGTGCTAGTACGACCACAACATAAACATCGTCATTGACATTGGTAGAGGAGGAAGGGGTGTACCTTGCGCCAGTAGACGTGCTGCGACGGTCGGTCCGAAGCCGCCGATGAAAAGCTAGAGTCGGTGCGGGGCGCCGCCGACGATGCATTCGACGGAGCGAGCGACGGCAGCGAGATCTCGGTCGAGAGGAACGTATCACGGAGCGGTGACAGCGTTGCGTTGACTTCGGTCTGGAGCTTCTTGAGGTGCGGCTCAATCACCGTCGTAATGTACGTATAGACATGCTCGAGCTCCTTGATATCGCGGGGCGCGTGCGTCGCGGGTGTCTCTTCCAGAACCTGACCGCAGTAGTCGGCGTACTCGAAGAGATGCATGACGTCTTGGATGTGTTCCTACGCATTTTTATTCATCAAGATGCACTTGGGGGCGAGAACGACGTACCGGCGACTTGTGCCCACGGTACCGCTGGAGGTACATCTGGAAGAATCGGTAGGCTTCGCCGACGCTGCCCAAGTACATTTGTTTGAGCTGCGTATGCTGTTGCCAATATGCGTCGAGTCGTCGCTGCCGGTCGTCGCGGAGGTTCGGTGACATGGTCGGATTTTGGTGCTTGACGGCAAAGAGCTGGTCCGACATCGAGGGCAGCATTTTGCTGCCGCTAACCGATGAGACCGACGAGAGCGACGACGACTGCGTCAGCTTGTGCATGTACGGGGTAATGATCTTGTGGATCGACTTGGTGAGCCGGCGCAAGTCGGCGTTCGAGCGCGGTGGATGCGACGACGGCGTTTCCTGCAGCACGTGGAGGCAAAACTCGACGTAGCCCATGAGGTACTCGATCTTCTGGCGCTGCTCGTTCTGGACGGCGCCCGGCCGGCTCAAATGCTGCTTGAAGGCCGCGTGGACTGCGAGGACGTTGGCGAAATGGGCGTCCTTGAGCGCACCATGCTACATCATAGTCGCGTGAGATGGATCGACCTACAAGGCGGTCATGGGCGCAAGACGTACCGAGCGCCAGTAGTCCATCTCGTTCTCCGTGTGATACGATGCATATGTGTTCTCGGACGACGTCATACTGCTGCGGTCGTCCATGACCGACGGTGGCGGGAGGCTAAACTGTGGTCGCTGCCCGAGGTCGCCGTGGCGGCGGCCAGTCCACATGACCTTGACATGGTTGGTCTCGGGCTGCGGCGGCGACCCGAGCGAGTCCATCGAGTCGCGGCTGAGCATCGAGTCGCGGCCCATCGCGTCGTCGTCCTCGACGCGCTCGGGGAGGTCGTCCGTCGAGAGCTTGGTCACATACGGCACGACGATGTGGGAGATGTACTTGCGGACGCGCGCGAGCTCTTCCCACGTCCGAATCGCATGCGTCGCCGCGTCTTCCTCAAGTACTTGCTTGCAGAACGCGACGTACTCGACGAGGTGCGCGACTTTGCGGCGCTCGTCGAGGTCATGCGACCCGAGGATCTTCCGGAAGGTCGCGTGCACTGCATGCACGTCGTCGAGGTACGACATCTTGAGCGCGCCATGCTACGGAAGGCAGGTACCATGAGGACCGTCGTCGAGCGAGGAAGCGCATTGAGCTAGTACCTGCTTCCAGTACTCGGTCGTCGCATGGTCCGAGGACGAGGTCGAGCTCGCATGGCTGCCGGGTCGCCGGGACGGCGTCTGCAGGGGGGGCGGCTGGTACATCATGCTCGGTCGGCCCCGGGGAAATTGCTTGAATGCAAGAGGTCCCACTTGGCCGATCAGGTCTACCCTTCAATTAAATATTTAAATAGGCAATCCACCCCTCGAGTGTCTAGACGCACGCCATTTCTGTCCGGATAAGCAAGGCGCCACGCGGTTCGGCATGCCCCTGTCCCACGCCACGCTCAGCGTATTGCACCGACGGGCTGCAAGCGACAGAGCAATCCATGGGAAGACGAGCCGCAGGAAACACGCAACGAAGGGAGGTCCTTGGGATGGGCTCTCTCGTGATAACGACGACGAACTGGACGGTGGTATCTGGTTGGCGAGTTGCGAGAAGGCTGAGAGTATCCGTGGCATAGCAAGCGCCGAGAACGCGCTTGGTCTGGGAACCGATGCCCTTCTACCAACATGCTGATAAGCTTAGTCGCCCGTTGGGGCAAGTACAAGGTTGCAATGGTTGCGTGTATTTCGCTGCTGTGTTTCGTGGTTCGGGCCGTTGGTTTCGATAGGAATAGCATGGGAGAAGGAGGATGGGCACAGGGTGATGGACCACAGCGGGACGGGGCACGGTGGGCGGTCCACTGGCTACAGTGCAGCGCAGTCCGACGCTCGAGTAACTTGCGTATTTTCGCGGCGCCACGCACAGGCGCGTCGTATCCGGAATGTGGCGTGTATATAGCCGCTTGCGCTTTGTATGGGCGTTTGGAAAGCGCGCGGGGTGGAATGGGCTGCATTCCACCAAGAACTTTATTAAACTACATGTAAAAAAATACGGCCATTTTTTCTCGGCCAATTTAAATTCAGCATACAATGCGAGCGTTCGTTATATCGTCGACGTCACGCTGTAATTAAAATTGTCGCGTGATGCGCTGGGTACTAATACGGTGTGACCAACAACAAATCGCGGGGCTTTTCTCGGTGGTCGTCGCTGTACTCAGCACCGTCAGAATCGCTTCAACGACTAGAATCACCGTCCGAAACGAGCGATGGACAATGTGTACATGCGATGCGAGCGCTCGAATTGCCCGACGCCAAGCGCCAAAAAAGGAGGCCGTGCGTAGCGCATGCAATGGGGTGGCGACACGAGGTTCGTGGCCAATCACGTGACGTTTTCGATGCAGCTGGTTTGGCGTGACTCAGCGCTCATTGGCTAGGATGGGAATCTGGACGGCACCACGTCGACCGCGTCGACGCGCGAGGAAAAAAATGAGCGTCAACGGCTTGCGCTACACGCCCCTGTCGCGGCGTGGGCCGACCTTCGAGACCTCTGACTCAGAGGTCTCGAAGGTTGGTCTGCAATGTCTCGGAAGTCAGAGGCTCTGACTTCCGAGACAGTGCAGAAGCAGCTCGCCATACTTGCACACGGCTTCGTGGCTGAATGCGGAGAACCTGCGCGGTGGCATCGTTGAAGAGGGTTGCAGCGGACGTGGTGGACATTCCAACCAAGATTGGGGCGATGCAAGAAGCTTCGTCATTTGTCGTGTTGACCATACTAATCACAAGCCATTCAAGGGTTGAATGCGGCTTGTGCCGGTCGTCAAGTGCATGTAAACGCGTAGTATAGTGCACCCAAGACCATCCATAATTGCCACGTGCATGGTATATTCCGATCGTGCTCCATTCGCCCACCGATACGATCCATCGATCGCTGTCACCTCCCCACTGACTGCAACGTGTAGCGCTCGAGTGCAAGAATAGGCCAGACCAAGCCATTGAAACAACCAATTCGTTGGCCTTTCTGCTCGACGGGCAAGCTCGGGCCGCCACGATGGCACCGCTTCCATCCGCGCGCTCTGATTGGCTGAAATCAGATCTTACACAGCCATGTTGGCGCGCCATGCTGCCACGTCCAAACTTAGCTTCGCGCTGTGTGCCTCTACGATTGGCATTCGCCATTCGACGTGGTCACTGCACGCGACGTCCCTACCCGCGTACTCACTTGCATCCATGCAGCTCTCAACGATCCTCTTGTGGTTTTTACCGGTGACGCTCGGGCACCTCTGCGTCGTGCCCCCGTATTCGTACACGTCCAATTCAGACCCGGCGCTCGCAACCGCGCTGGGAGTGCTCCAGCAAAGCCCGATTGGCACGTGGGTCAATGACAATGGTCACAACCCGGTGCCCGACGTCCTCGCAAAGTGCGACAATGGGGCTGTCCCCATCTTTATCATTTACGGTCTCCCGAACAAGGACTGCGCGGCGGGCTACTCGGGCGGCGGCAACAACAAAAACACTGAAGAGTACGCGTCTTGGCTTCAAACGATCGTGTCGACGGTCGGGTCCCGCGAGGTCATTTACATTGTCGAACCCGACGCGCTCGGGCTCCTCTCGCAGCAAGGGTGCGCCGTCAACCTCGCATACGAAGCCAACTTGAAGACTGCCGTGGAAGTCCTGAGTCAAAACACCAACGCACACATTTACGTCGACGTCGCGGGTTGGGCCACCGAGTCGGTTGCTATCTCGGTGCTCCAGGCACTCAAAACAGCCGGTCGCCTCGCAGGCATCTCGATCAACACGTCCAACTACCAGTCCAACGACGCTATGCTGCGTGTCTGCAGCACGTACTCGAGCGCGACAGGTGGTCTCCACTGCGTCATTGATACGTCCCGCAACTACCGCGGGTCGCCGCAGAACGAGTGGTGCAATGCTAAGTCGGCCGGTATCGGCGCGCCGCCAACCGAAACGACCAATCATGAGCTCGTCGACTATTACCTCTGGCTCAAGGTACCTGGTGAGAGCGACGGACAGTGCACGGACAGCGGGCGCTCTTCAGATGCGATGGCGGGCCCCGGCGCCGGTCAGTTTTTTACTCAAGTGTTTACGTCGCTTTGGAACAATGGCTACTACGTCGCGCAAGGCGCCGCACCGATCGGTGGCGCGCCGCCCCCGTCCACTGCAGCCCCCGTTCCGGCGCCACCGCCGGCAACCACGGCCCCCGTGGTGACCCCAACACCTGCGTCCGAGACGACACCGGCCCCTGCACCCTCGACACCAACACCGACAACACCGACGACGCCAACACCGACTACGCCAACACCGACGACACCGACACCAACGACAGATGCACCGAAGACACCAACGACGGATGCACCCACGTACCCGACCCGCGAATCGGACAGCGACGACGACGATTACCCGTGCGAAATTGACGAGGACAACATTGCTACGATGCCGCCGCGCACGACGCCACCGCCGCCGACGGAAGCGAAGGCTGAGAACGTGACCACGCCGGCGCCCGCGGCCGTCAACTTGGCGGCGCAGATGCAATCGACTTCCGCAGTCGAGTCGCCACCGACGCTGCTTTCACCGGGTGGCACCGTCGCGATCGCTCTCGCCGTGATTGCGCTCGTCGCGCTCGTCGTCTTCTCTGTTTTTAGCGTGCGTCGGCATCGCAAGCGCTTTGGTGACCGCGATGACCAAGTCGTGGCGCTCGATTCGACGGGCATTGCTGTATTGCTGTCGACACCGGCTGCCAAACTCTAAGCGGCGTCGACGGTCGACCATATTCCTTTCCGGCATACAAGGACATGGTAACAACAGACGCAGTTGCTCTTTCACGATAGTATGTGTGTACGAGATGTATCACAAATATTTCTTTCAAATATCTTTGTCGGCGGTGACGAATCTCTCGTTCGCGTTTAAACATGGGATTGAAGTGGTGTAGACAGAGGTGACGCGGTGTTTGCGAAGTGCGGAGAAGAATTCTGCAACAGTGGTTTTTAAGTGTTGGGCGAATTTAGAGTGTCCCTCAATATCAAATGTAGAACTATACCGCTATAAACATGCGCTATTGGTTTAGTGGTAAAATATCTCGTTGCCATCGAGATGCCCCGGGTTCGATTCCCGGATGGCGCATTTTTGGATTTGTTTTGGCCATTTTCACATTTTAATTTTCATCAATTTGCGATTTCACAAAGCACAACCCTGCTTTTTAGTAACCAACAGTACAACCTCTTCCCACGCCTCTCAGCTATTTTATGATACCACTAGGACCTAGCATCAAAAAGCTTCCATCGATTGATTGAATTTTCTGTCAATTTTGTTTTTTTGGACGCCTTTTCACACCTCTTCGGTGTCCTCTTGCACGCGATTCTATCGCTTATCCGAGGACCATCTCACGTCACTGTTCATCGCAATTTTGAAGCCTTTTCTGACCAGTTCATGCGCTTAGAGCGGGCCATTCATTGTACAATATCTTGTGCGATATCAAAAATGCACTACATCTCGAATGTGGTATTTTTCATGTTCCATGATTCGGGTCATAACATGCGCATCTCAAATTATGTCGAGGATAATTTTTGTGCTTCATCTTGGCCATTTTTATATATTGACTTTTGATCTCAAACAAGGTCACTTATATCACGCTACACAACTCTCTCGGCGACGCGACGAGGTGTTTTGTTATCTCCAAGAGTTTCTCTATCGTCATGCCAAGTTTCAGCACTTTCATTTCTGACTCGAAATGCACTAGGATGTGAGGAAGCGAGAGGTGTCTATGACCTATTCTGTCTTCAGTACGAGAGCAGGAAGAAGGTAGACAGTCACACCGTGACTAGGCTTTAACCAGGGTTCACTCTCAACGATAAAAACCCTTCGAGTATTTGTGTCTTCAGCACTTTGAGGTACCGAAACGTGGAAACCATTCTGCAAAGATAAATTGAGAATTGATTTGCAACATGTATTATGAAACGATTATGACTGTGGAGCCGTGAGATCTAGCGGTGCCCAAACGGCCAGAGACCAGTCTTGCTCTTCTTTAGCCGTCGTCGTCGTTGGTCAGGGATGTCGTCCGTGAGCTCTTCTGGCGTCTCGGCGATGGATGGTAGTGGCGGCGGTACTGCGAGGATGGCCGACATTGGCATGGAGTCCTCACAGGACCACCGCTCTTCGTCGTCGTTGGGAGGATCCGACTCGATCATGATGGGTGTGTCGTCGATGCCACCGCAGCGTGGACATTCGAACAGGCGGCTTGAGACCGCGCGGTGCCACTTGTCTAAAGCCCTTGCCGCGTCCATTGTCACAACCTCGACCGTCACGTTCGCTGCGTTGAGCTCCAGCTGCAAATTTCGGATGACTTCATCCGCTGCAGCCGACTTGTGGAGCGACGCGAGAGCTTGGTGTGCCAAGTTCTGAACGGATGTATCAAGAGATGCTTGTGTGGTGGCCTGCAGAGCGATCGAGGCGTCGAGTTGGTCGCGTAAAGTCGCGACCTGCTGGTTGGATTCGGCCAAAGAGGCTTGGGTTGCAGCGAGCTGGCGCGTGTGCTCGGCTCGAAGCGCGTCGATCGCGCGAAGATGGTCGGCGGCCATTGTATCCCGCTCGTGCTGCAGAGCACGAATCGTGGTCTCGGCTGCTGCTGTTGCGGCGCTGGAGGCGTCGAGTTGGCGCTGCAGTGTCGCTGCGGTGGCGGTGGATGCGTCCAGAGACGCCTGCATCGCGTCCACGTGGCGTTGTTGTGTGTCTTCAAGGAGCTCCATGACGGTGGCAGCGTCGAGCTGTGGGAGCTCGATCCCAGCCTCAAGTGGCTCTGGCTCGTCGAGATCGGTGTCGAGAAGATCGTGTTGCTGTTCGTCAGCGATCAAAGGCATGGTAGTTGTCGTCGGTGCGTCGTCAGTGGCATCTGTCGGCGTGGACGTGGCGTTGGAGTAGATCATGTAGGCCAGCCCGGCGGTCAAGACCGCCATCGTAGCGCGCCCAAAGTAAGCAGTCATGTTCGTTGTCGTCGTCGATGAAATGGTTTATGGAGAGCTGACCATCGCATCTCGCAGCGTGTAAAGGATGGCAAGCGACCCTTTGTACGCGTAAAGGGTGCGAGTAAAAGTAAGTGGAGCTGGCTTCCACTTCAAGATCCAAGAAACTTGACCATGGCGGCCCCGCTATCAAAATAGTGTCATGCACACACTGTGTCGCCCAGAAAATATATGGTTCATCTGCAAGTGTGCTATCAATATCATCGTACGATCCCGCCGCTGCTTGTATTACCAAGGGGTCCCTTGATTTTACTCTATTAGGAGACCAAGTATGAAGCGCCAACGTGGTATTCCGACTGGTATTCGGGCTTGGGTCGACATCCAAGATCGCAATTCCACCAATGACACGGCAGCCTGGACACATCCCTCACTATAAAAGCATCCTAAAACACCGATGAACTCTTGCACTCATCAAGATGACGTGACTACTCTTGATATATCGATGTATGGTATTGTCCATTGGGTGATGGAATACATTGTCGTCAGCGCTTGCGATCACGAACGTGGGTTGCGTGCGTCTAGTCAAACCTCTCAAATATGATATCCGTATCGAGTATAAGAGACGCATGCTTGCAGTGTGCAAATCCAAGAAGCATGAGCTCGCGCCCAGACGGCTGGAAGCACCTTGGCCGGTCGGCGAACGAGGGCCAGGAGCGCCGGCGGCAAGACGCGATCGCCCGGCAGCGCCAGGCCCGGCGGGACCTCACCATGCATGTCCGCGAGATGGCGATCCCGAGCGTTGGGGCCGACCTCGAGGACATCACGGCGGGCTTGGACATGGACATCGAGGTGTCGTCGGCCAAGAGCCGCAAGAAGACGCGCGAGGACCGCGTGAAGGGCCGACGATCGATCTATAGCAACCAGCTCATGCACCCTGAGTGGATGGTGGACATTCCGAATGCGCTCAATGGCACGCACGCTGGCAACGGCGAAGGCTGGCTCGTCTTGCCGCGCCCGGACGGCAAGCGCTGCCTCGTGATCGCAGCCAAGTAGGCCATGGTTCACATACCTATCGTCGTCTTACAATCTGGCCTGTAGTGGCACGACCATTGCGCGGACGCACAGCGGAAGCGTACTCAAGAAGTTTCCGTCGGCGTTGCCCAGCGGTATGGCTCTGCCTCTACTTGTAGCTCATGTGCATTAGGCTCGCGCAAGACGAAATATGGCGCCGACCAGTATTGCGTTCTCGACTGCATCTTCAACGACGTCGACGGAACCTTTTACATTCTCGACGTCATGTGCTGGAAGGTAGCTACCTGTCGACCAAGGCGCCAAGCGCTCACGTCGATCGTAGGGCTACCTCTTGTACGACTGCACGGCCGAGTTTCGTTTCTACTGGCTTCAAGACAAACTCTCCGAGACGTCGGCGGTGAGTATCTCGTCGGCCAATCCATTCGCTTTTCAGGTATCCAGTCTTTCACTATCCAGTCGCTTGCACTATCCAAAATTTGCTCATTCGCTTCATAGCCGATTCCGTATTTTGACTGCACGCCCGAGGGACTCTCAACTGCGTACCACGGCGCTTTCTCGTTCTCCAAGTACGCTCTCCACTCTGTCGCCACGGCTATACATGAGCGGTAGGGACGGTCTTCTCTTCTACTGCAAAGCCGGTGTCTACACGCTCGGGCTCTCGCCGCTCGTGCTGCTCTGGAAGGACGCTACCACGAGTCCATACCCGAGCCAGCTCACGATTGTACTCACGGTCACCGAGACGTTTGCATGTGAAACGATCGAAGGACATGTGCTCACGACGCTGTCCCCCGAGACCATGACGGGTCATGAGGTACGCGTGCAAATACTTGCCAAGAACAGAGTTTCGATAGCGATGCGTAGATTGTGGCGGGCGACCTCGTGCGGTGCTCGATCGAGTCGCTGGCATGGACGATTGCGGATGACAGCACCGTGGTGGTTGATGCGACTGGCGTTCATTTTCAGAAACGCTGTTCGGCCCAGCGCGGGATCGCCGACAGCTGGACCAAGATTGCCCACATTCTCAGCACCACGTGCTCGATTCACAACCTCTTGGAGGTGCCAATTCCCATATTCGTCACGGCATTTAGATACATTCTGTGCTAGGCGACGGCCGATGTCGCCATGGACATGGAAGGCTGAGTGCTGTACTTTTGAGTCGACTCTTGCGGCACCTGCCATTGGCATGTGAACGAGTGACGCGCCAGGGTAGTGTGTCGTATCCTCCTCGTCGATATACAACCCACCTCGTCATTTGCTTGAAACACGTGTCCGTTGAGCTCGTAGCCACTGAGATCTGAGTGAGCCAGAGCGTCCGGGCATCAAAGGCTGCGCATCGCAAAGGGCAAAGTGGGCTAGCTGCATCGATCACCACACATTCCCCACATGTGAGAAACGGTTTCACGTGTGCTTTTCACGTGCGAAATCACGATTGCAAAATGGGGATCGGCCAACACACGCGGGCCAAGCGAGGTGGGTTCCAACTCACTGAAGCTATAAAGGACAACATATTCCACGCGCGGCAGCGCTTCGATTAGTGTAGTTAAAGCTCCAACGGCGACGTCGGTTATGTCGGCGATAACGATATCGATGATGACGTGGTCCACACAAGATACTTTTTTACATACCGAGTACCGTGCACTATAGTATACACGGGTGTGGGGACTGAAAATAAATCTGGAAAACTACAGCCAGCAGTGCATTGAAGTTGATGGCTATCGAATGCAGTCGATCTTCGTACTAATCGCTACTACGCTACACTGCGACGTCCACCGTCCAGCACAAAGGATCCAGCTCCGAGCATCGGTCCTACACGTCGACCAATCCAACCATGTCCCGGCGCAGCGATTGTTGGCCTATCCGCCTGCTTCGGCGCCAGTCATTTATGAATACGGGTAGACGGCGCGACAGAGGTGCGCGACAGCTTCGAAACACGCCGTGGCGTGTAGATGTACCCTTTGAACGCTTTTTTACACTTCGCTTTGGAGCGTGTTTTTGTAAGCCGGGTTTTCGAGTTTTGGGCGTCGCAAGCGGCGCGTCGACGTCGACGCACAACGTAAATTGGCCCGTGCCTGTCCAGCCTCTCGAAGCACTCGCTCTTCATAGCTATCTCGAGTGGGTACTCGAAGTAATAGTAGCTTTGGCGAGAAACGTTATGCTGATCGGTGGCCCAATTTCCCATCAACCATCTGCCGCGGCGACACCATGCAGGTCTGCGATGGAAATCGGTATGCAATATGCATAAAACACCGAATTCGAGGCCGGAATAAGGCATGCGCCTGAAATAAGGGCTTTGATTCCACGAGCATCCCACCAGCGGCAACCCGCACAAGCTCAACACGTACCACACCACCGCACGTCGTTCGTCGTCAACAGCGATTGTAATATAAGCCATTCGCCCTCTGCATACCACGGCCTATCCAGTACTACCTTGCTTGGAGCGGTCGTGCTCCCTCAGATTCAGTTCAGTACATCTGCTGCGGCCAACAGCACGCTCTGGGGCGCACACTACGAGGCGAATGCGGTTGCGAAGGCAGCACTGTCTCGTCCAACAAGATACTACCGGTAGCTACTCGCCTGAGCACTGCGGCGACAGCGTTAGCGCTGCTACGGTGGTCGTGGCAATCGGTCAACGTCCGAAAGTATGCCAAATAATCGCTGAGCTGCAATGTCAACGCTTGCATGTGATTGGCCAAAAGGCAAAAAGCAAGCAAATGCACGGCTGCGATTGGCTCCCACGCACACCACGGTGATCCCGTGACACACAAGTGCAATCTGCACGAACCAGATGCCGGCGGCGGCAGCGTCTACGGCGCATTCCCGATTTTCACGCGTCCCATGTACGTCCCGCGCCTTCTTGCCGCCATGGCGTTGGCCGCCAGCTCCGTCTCGGCGGGCCTCTGTACCGCCGTCTCGCCCGGCTCGTACGCCGAAGCGGCCAAGTACCCCGAGTTGAAGCCCGTCGTCGAAGTCTTGCGGCAATATGCGACCGCGACCTGGTACACGGATCGCGGAGGCGACTCGATCTCGGAATTGCTCTCAAAGTGCGCCGGCGCCACGCCCGTCATTGTCGTCTACGGTCTCCCGGGCAAGGACTGCTCCGGCCACTACTCGTCGAGCGGCGGCAACCAGTCGCCATCGGACTATGCGCGCTGGATCGACAGCCTCGTGTCCCGCGTCGGCAACACCAACGTCATTTACATCCTCGAGCCCGACGCGATTGGCAATTTGGCCAACAACGAGTGCGCCAAGCAGAAGGGGTACCTTCCGAACCTCAAGGTCGCGCTGCAAAAGCTCTCGTCCAATGCGAACGCGCAGATCTACGCCGATGTCGCGGGCTGGGCCAATCAAGGCGCGGCCCAAGACGTGCTCTCCGACCTCAAGTCGGCCGGTCGCCTCAACGGCATTGCGATCAACACGTCCAACTACAAGGACACGGACACGCTCAAGAGCATTTGCGCGTCGTACTCGGGGGCCACCGGTGGGCTCCACTGCGTCTTTGATACCTCGCGCAACTTTAACGGATCACCCCAGAGTGAGTGGTGCAACGCCAAGTCGGGTGGCATTGGCGCACCGCCGGGGACGCCCACGGGCAGCTCGATCGTTGACCACTACCTCTGGATCAAAGTGCCTGGCGAGAGCGACGGTGAGTGCGACGATGGCACGCACTCGTCCGACTCGGGCAAGGGACCGGCGGCCGGGCAGTTTTTCAAGGAGAACTTTGCGCAGCTGTGGGACCACGGCTACTTTGTCAAGGAAAAGGGTCTGCCCAAGATCGGCGGCAACTGGGACAACCAACCATCGCCGCAGCCATCGCCGCAGCCATCGCCGCAACCGTCGCCGTCGCCCTCGCCGAGTACAAGCGCCCCTGTCACGTCGACACCGGCGCCGACCACCGAGACACCGGCACCGACGACCGAAACGGTGACACCGGCGCCGACCAATGCGACGACGACACCGACGCCGACGACCACCACCGAAGTACCCGCCCCGGTGACCGAAGCCGCGTCGATTGAGACGGCGGCGCCGACGACCAAGCCGGTTGCAACCACCGCGACCGCCAACATTGTGAGCGTCCAGTCGGGCAGCGAAGAGTCGTCAAGCAACGGGATTGTCATTGCGCTTGCGTCGCTCGTCGGTGTCGCGGCGGTCGTGGCCGCGGTCCTCGCGGCCGTCGTCATCCGGAAGCGCAACCTGCGCGAGAAGGACGACGATATGATCGAACGCGACTCGCGCGGCATCGTCGTGCTCATGGGCACCTCCCGGTACAGCGAAGCTGTGCTCTAAGCCCAATATGCGTCTTTGCTAGTCGTCGTCGTCGTAGTGTCGTAATATATTCGTGTGCTTCTTACAAAGCGCCGACTACCGGTCGGACTAGTATTAAACAGAGCCATCACCTGTCCCTTTCGGAACAACGCAGTTGTGCGTAGCGGTGTGGACCGAGGACGGGCCATATCGGTCCACAAGACGGTGGATTTTTGATGACCTGCACGTCACGAAAGCACTTTGCCAACCCTTCCACGCAGCAAAGGACATTATGTACACAAAGAACAGTGCATCTCATCAACAAACGACCGATACAGGACGTCGCAGCGGGACCTACGACTTGAGGCAACGTCTATGAGATGGCCGTTGCCGTCGCCACGCAGCCAACGAGCTCCGCGTGTTGTCAGGCATTCGCAGCGTGGGTCATGC